CGGGGAACACCCGCTCGTCCAGCACTTTTTTTTTGTTTTGTTTTTAAATTATTATTTTTTTTTAATTCTTTTCCGGGATGGGTCAATCCCTGCTTGGGGAGGAGGGGACAAAGTTAATCCAGCTTCATAGTCAGGGCTTGCTTTTCGGCAGTTTGTGCTCTGCTGCTAGGTGAGTGTCTTCTCGCTTGTGTGGGGTTTTTGTCCCTCCTGTTTTCTTTCTGAACGAGCCACATGGTGTCAGAGGTGCCGGGCTCACCAGACTCTTGTTTTTGGCGAAACCCAGAGATCGGTGCTTGAAAGCAGCGTGGTAGTGGGCGGGCGTGTGTTTACATGTGGCTCCCCAGGTAAGGCTGGGCTGAAGCCTCTAGTGGTGGGGAAAACATGCCTGCCGGAGCAGCTCAAGCCATCCCGCCATGCCTTTCCCTCTCGTGATTAATTCCCCTTAATTGGAGGAAACCTTTTAACTTCCGCCGGGCAAAACTGGGGGAAGGTGAGAGGGAGGCAGGTACCACAGTGGTAGCACTTTTCAGGGGATATCAAACACCGACTCCAACCTTTATACAACCAAAACACCTTTTTTGTTGTTGTGTTTTCTTCTTCTTTTTTTTTTTCCTTTTAATCCCCTCCCTAGTTAATAGCTGTGGTTACAGCTGCAGAGGGGGTGACTGTAATATGCCTTCAGGAAAGATTTTCTGACATTATTGCAGTAATTACAGCTTAATGCAAGTTTCACAACCCTGCGTAGTGCAGACACACGTGGTGCAGACAGGCAAGGATGCTGGAGCTCCGCGGCGGGGAGAGCAGCCGCCGATGTTCGAGCAGCCAGTGACTTCTGGTTTTTGGTGCTCCAGGAAGAAACTGGATTTTTCCTGGATTTTTCTGAGTTCCTGCTTTTTCATCGCCAGAGGAGAGCTGCTGAGACACTGGTTTTACTTTGTTCTGCTGTTGTTGCTAGGAGCATCACCCTAAACAACTATATGCAAATGGAAAATACTTGAGTTATTTAAATGGGACCCTTGGCTACTCTCGAGCACGATTAAGCTGGGAGTGTGGATCCACGGAGCTGTTTGATCCCTGGTCAGGGGTTGCAGGCTCCCAGGCTGTGACTTGCTGTGCAGCTTGCCTGGAGAAAGGGCTGTGGGTTTGCCCTGCACACCTCTTCCTCGGCCGTGTCCCGCTGGATGCGTGCCATCAAGTTTTCCGCACAGAAGCGGGTCAGTCCCTCTGCAAGGAAGCAAAGGGTATAATTTGTTGTTGTTGTTGTGGTGCTTCTCTGCACAGATTTTTGTCTGTTTGTAAGGCACAGGCTGTGGGCTGGAGAGCTTCTCTAGGAAGCATAAGCAAGCGGCTATAATGATAATAATAATAATAAACAGGCGTTTCCTGTAAGCCAGAGGGGTTTGTGTGTGATAGGTGCTCTCAGCCTCTCCCTTGGGCAGTGGGGACTGTTTCCAAGGCTGGTCAAGCAAAGCAAACTCGTCCTCTTACCCTCAGGCTTCTAAATCTTCTAAAACTTAAAAGTTTTCAGGGATGACAGCCCAAATAATAAGTAAGCCCTGAAGGTGCCCCTGCCAGATGGAAAAGCTGGAGGCAGCCCTGGGGAATGAAGAGATGTCTTTGGTGATGCTGCGGGGTGTTGTGCATCTCTGACAGCGTGAGAGGGTAAAGCTGGCTGCCTCTGAAGCCATTTTGGGGGGGTAAATGAGATGAAAACAGCAAGGGAATGTTCTTGGATGGAGGTGGGAAGCATTCAGGAAGATGCTTTTGGGGATGAGTAGGAGAGGAGCAGACATGAGTTCATAATGTGTGGGGGTCGTGTGCCATGTGATTGCTCATCATAAAGTCACCCCAGGCAAGAAACCCACCCTTTGGTGGGGCTGTGTGAATCTGGGACTAATATTTTAACTCCTTGGCCATTTACAGGAGCTGATTTGCTTTGCTTGGGGTTTTTTGTTGGAGGAGCAGCTCTGTCTAAAGGCGTGGGAGTGCAGAGTTTGCACATGTGTTTTTGGGATGTATTTGGAGCAGGTGCTCTGTAAATGGGTTTTTCCTGATGCTATTTTAATCCCGGTGTTTTCCCACACTGTGGAAGAGGAGAGTGAAGCATTGTGAACCTCTCCTGGCTTGTGAAGGAAATCCCTCTGTATGTGATAGTGAGTTTCAGGGGGGAAGCCTTCAGCTGAGAAGCTGGTGCTGGTGTTCTGTTGCTCTTGTTTCGGAGCTGCTGCTGTCTTCTGCCTGAGCTTTGTGCATGGTTCATCTGAAGCTGAGGAGGTTTGGGTGACCAAGCCCGGGAGATGGAGGTGCAGCTTGTGGTTTGGTTTGGCTGGTTTCTTGAGTTGTTATTTTAGGTTTTTGTTGCTTTTGTTGTTGTTGTTGCTCCCGGGCAGGACCCGCAGCATCCCCGGCGGGAGCATCCCATGGGCTAGAGCGGGATGCAGACACCCTGGGGGTGCCTCTGGCTTTGTCCCCATCCCCACGGCAGCCATCTCGCGGCATCGTACCCGCTCATGGTATGACTGGGGGGGGGGGGCCCCTGAAAGTGCCTCTGACAGGTTTTGGGACCAGTTATGACTGGACCCTTTTGACGCTGCTGTTCGGCAGCACCACAGAAAGTCCTTTCTGAAAACCTCAGCCTGATTTCACTCTCAGCCACCAGCCCCAGCCTTTGCCTCTCCAGCTCCTGAGCTCTTGGGTGCCGAGCTGGGGCGAGGGGAAGGAGGATGGAGGAGGAAGGATGGAAAAGCCGCGGTACCTCTTCCCCTCGGAGCATTCTCCGCATCTTTTTGTCCCATCTCCCTCTTTTTTTTTTTTTTTTTAAATTTATTTCAGTTTTTTTCGGTTTAAATTCCCTAGCTCGCTTCTTGCTGGGGGGAGGCTGCCCAGGGCCAGCTCTGGTGACAGGGGTGGGGTTTCGGAGGGTCGCCCCGCCCCAGCTAAAACACCCTGTTTGCGTTCCCGGAGCGCCAGGGTGGAGTATCGCGAGGGCTGCGCCGCGGTTCATTCACCAGCGAGGAAAATAAATACTCCGGGGCCGTCCCCGGGCGGGCGGCGGGTACTACTCTGCGCTACTACAGCGTGAAAACAAAACAGATCCTCCAGCCAAGCAGCGCTGCTTTGGCTCGGAAATGTATTTTCCAGTCAGGTTGGAGCCAGGCTTTTATTTAATTTTTTTATTTTTTTTTTACTGCCCCACTAATCCTTTGAATATTTTGAGATTGGAAGCTATTTCTATTCCCTTGTGATCCCTTTTTAAGCTGTCGTGCCAAAACTCTCTGTTTTGTTTTCTGCAGTGTTTTGGTTTTTCTTGGGGTTGTGTGTAGTTGGCTTGGGTTTTTTTGTTTGGTTTTTTTTGTTTGTTTGTTTATTTTTTTTTCCTTAAGGCCATGACTCTTGCTTGGATCCTGCACTTGTGGGAGGGGGAGGAGGTGGTGCAGGTACTGCACGGGGTCCTGCCTGGGTCACAGACTGCTCCTTTCTCCCCCCCGGGTATTTGGGGGATTGCACGGTGGCTTTGTCACGTGTCTAATAACCTCCTAAAATCGAGACTAAAATAGCTATGTATAATACAGCATAATTGATGGGTTTGCTGCTTTTTTTTTTTTTTTTCCATAGCCAGCCCTGCTTTGGGTTTATTTTCTGCTACAGTGCAGGGAGATCCCAGCTCCCTCCTGCAGATGGAAAGTCCTTCAGCTTGCTGGAAACGTGGTTTCTGGATGTACAAATCCAATTGTGGCTTGTTTCTCAGTATGACAAAACCCATCGTTTTCCTTTTCTTGTTGAGCACTTTGGAGCTGGTGGGGGAAGAAATGTGAGAATTCAATTAAACTCTCCAGACAGGGTTTTTTTTTTAAGGTTAGAAAAGAAGCTGCTGCGGTGCCTGCAAGAAAAGTATTTAGAAAGAGGGGAAAAGAGAAGGTTTTGCTAGGAAAAAAAAATAGGAAATTGGTATTCCTCCCTATTTGAGAGGGGACCAATGCTTGGATGTGCCAGAGGAGATGCTCCTATTTAAGAAAAAAATGAAACAGTAATAATTAAAGTACTAATAGTAATAGTTTTAAAAAGTAGTAGTAGTCTCTTGAATCTTGGCAAGTTTAACAGAGTCTTGAATTTTTATTTTTGTTGCTCACCTGTCTGAAACGCTCCGGTTTGGTTCCCTGCAGCTTCCCGGTGGCAGTCTCACTCCCTGGCAGAAGATGTACAGCCTGAGATCTGGATTGCACAGGAGCTGCGGCGCATCGGAGACGAGTTCAATGCCTCCTATTGTCCAAGAAGGGTAACTTTCCTCTTCTTACTTTCCATTTCTTTACGCACGATCTCTAAAAGGGAAAAGCTTAATCATCTCTGGAAACTAGTTCTGCGGTGAACGTTTTCATTCACTCAAACGTAGAAAAGGCTGCGCGGGTGGTGGTGTTTGCCTGGACCCAGGGCTGTGCTGCCTGCTGCCACAGCCTCATTCAATCAATTAAAAATAACCTTTAAACTGCAACTTGAGGCTTTTTGGGTGCAAAGTCCACAGTATCTTTTGCAGTACCCAGGGCTGATAAAATGCGTGTGGCTCGATTGGGATGGTACCTGACTATGAGGAGGAAACTTCTTGCCCTGGTCAGGCCCCATCTGAAACGCTGCATCCAATTCTGAGCTGTGCTGGACCTACTGGAGAGGTTCCAGTGTAGAGCCACTATGATCATTGTGGAACTGGACCATCTACCATAGGAGGAAAGGCTGAGAGAGCTGGTTCTGTTCAGCCTAGAGGAGACTGAGGGGGGATCTCATCAATGCTTGTAAATATCTACAGGGTGTCAGGAGGTTGGGACCAGACTCTTTTCAGTGGTGTCCAGTGACAGGATGAGGGGCAATAGTCACAAACTGGGTCACAAGAGGTTCAGCCTAAACATAAGGAAAAACTGAATACTCTGAGGGTAAAAGAGCACCAGGACAGGCTGTCCAGAGAGGTTGTGGAGTCTTTGTCTCTGGAGACACTCAAAACCTGCCTGGATGCCATCCTGTGCAGGCTGCTGTGGGTGGACCTGCTCTGGCAGGGAGGTTGGACTAGATGATCTGCAGAAGTCCCTTCCAACCTCTAATGTTCTGTGATTCTGTGGAACTTGAGTGGAAGTTTTGGGTGCTTTGGGGTGGCTTTGGAAGTGGTGCCTGGCTGCATTCAGGTGTGCTTACACTGGGATTTTTAGGAAATGGGCAAGGAGTGAATTGCAGCTGGTTTCCGGGCCCAGCTCCCAGATCCCTGCTGTTGAGGATCGTGTGCATGGAAGTGTAGTTGCAAATAAGAAACAGAGATGGACTTGGGCTGATAACTTACTTCTCTTACAAAGAAGCTGCCAGAACTGTTTTGAAACTCATGTATTTATGACAGTAAACTCTCTCACCTTAAAGTGTTACAAGAAAAAAATAGGCAGCACTAAAAAAAAAACAGAACCAACCCAAAACAAATCAACCCAGAGAAATGAAGTAACAATAGCTTTCAGATGAGTGTCTTCAGCCAGTGACTTGCCTGTGTTATGGATGCTGCATGTTGGTGCGTGTGGTTTCTGGTGGGAAGAGGAGTCAGCAGCACGTTGGGCAGCAGTGTTGGTGATGAAATGCTGCCTGCATGGATCTTTATCTGTCCTCCCCAGCTCGTGAGTCATTCCTGTGGCCTGTTTCCTCACCCAGGCTGTGCAGTGGATCCTGGATGCAGGGGCTCTCCCCTAAAACAGATGCCAGGCTGCTGTGGTCCAACTCCTTCTGCACAGCCTTGCTGGAGGCTTCTCCACTGGCTCCATTTTCTTTCTGAGTACTCTGGCTTTTCTGACCTGAAATGAACTGGAGATATGTTGCATTTTATCCCCAGTCCAGAACATTACTCTTCCAACCTCCCCCATCCAGGCTGTGGTATACCTGCTTTTGTTGTGTGTTTTTTTGTTTGTTTGTTTGTTTTTGTTAAAGGACATATTTTTTATGAAAAGTAGGGACTAAGACAATCCTGTCTGTTCCAAAAGCTGAAGGTACCTGGCAGTGGCAAGCTGATCCAGAAAGGCTGGCAGAAGCATGAGATGCCACGGCATCCCATCTCTTTGCCTTAAATTCAGAGCGTAGGCAAGCCCTTGGAGGACCTTCTGGGAGGAGGTTTGTGACTAGCAGGGATGTACTCCCTTTATTATCTTCTGGGGACTGGCTCCTGTACACGTGGAACATTGCGCTGTTCCACACAACCGTGGTGTGGGGTGAAAGAGGGGGTGAATTTAATGGGGGAATGGGAAAAGGTGAACTTCATGAGGGGGTGGGCATGAAGGTGGCATCATAATGGACTGCAGGATTGCAGAAGATGGTTCCCAGCACCACAGCCTGCTGAGAACTGAAAGTCAGAGGGCTGCGTCCTGCTTGCTAGATGACACGAGCAGGGGCTGTCATGCGTGACCCTAAAAACACTCTGTACCTGGCGTAATTAGCATCTGGGCAATTATTGTTTGTTGCACTCAGAAATGAGCGGGTTTCAGCTCATTTAACCAGTTACTGTGAGAGTAAGGTCCCAAATGTGCTTGGGTGTCATTCCCTGGAAAGCCTCCTGCCTTTTCCTTTGGCAGATGGGCTGGTGGCTCTGGGGAAAAGGTGGTCCCTGCGAAGCTGGAACCCTGCAGCAGGAGGGGTAGGCAGCAGGACACCCTGCACTGGGCTTTGCCCTTTCAGGGTGGTTAGAAATGGGGAACTAAGAGCCCTGCCAAAACTGCACTTGCCGGGCAGGTCGGAGCTGTCGGACGGGTCGGAGCCACATGTTCCCCATCGCGTCACCTCCCTCACCCCCCCCGCCAGGGACCATCTCTTGGGCAAGACAATGGGAAATCGGGCAACTTGCCATCCACCCTGCTTTGCCCTGACAAAGCTTTGGGTCTTGGTAGCAGAGGTGGGCACGGGACTGTTCAGCCACGAGCAGAGGTGCCATCAGACTCTCCAGCCACAGAGACCAGCTTCGTGCTGAGGTGTTTGCCCGCAGCAGCTGTGTCCCTTGGCCACCATCCTGTGCCCCAAGCTTTGCTACCCGTGCCCAAGCTGCCTGCCGGGGTGGATAATGTCTTGTTTCAACTCCCTGATTTATTACTTTTTTCAGCACCTTTTGTCAAAGGAAACCTACATTTGGTGTTTCTCTCGCATCCTTCTCGAAGGCAGTTGGGGGTTTTTGGTAGCCGGGCAGGGGATGCTGGAGCACTGTCTGTCCTTGGGGACAGCAGGATGCATGTGGTACACCCTGCAGCAGGGAGGGGTGTTTGCATACGAGCGTGAGCAGCCTCCTTTCTCTCTGCGGGGCATGCACGGGCATGATCGTGCTGTGCTAAATATAGCCCCAGCCAGGCTGCCTGGGGATGGTGCAGAGGGGAAGCAGGGGGACCTCAGGGCTGCTCTTTTGACCAAAGGCTGAAAAAGGCTTAAAAGTAAATACTCATTTGGTGATTGTTCCTTTTTCTTTTCGTTGTGCACTGTTGGGATCCCGTGCTCTGGGGAGGGAGGTGTCGCTGCCGTGTCTGGGCTGGCTGTGGGTTGTGAATGAGGTGGTGGTTTCACCTGGGGTGTTCTGAACTAAAACCTGTGCATCATCACCTGTGCAGAGGCCAAGTATTTTTTAATTTTAGTTTAAAGTATTTTATTTTAAATTTTGTTTTGTTTTTGGTTTAAATTGTAATTTTATTTCTGGTTTGTTGTTTTTTTTTGCCTCTCAGCGTTCCTCCCCTGTGGTTTTTAACCCTCTTTTTAATGCTGCTAGCAGATTTTACTGCCCCTTTGCCACGTGTCAACAGCATCACCTGTGCCCGCATGCAGAGACCCACACGTGATGTCCCCATCGGGGTGGCCACCTTCAAGGCAAACGTGGCTGGGAGTGGCCAGCTTCAACCCTCTGACTATTATAAAGCTTTTTATTGAAGGAAAATATTAAAAGTAGTGGGGTTTATTTTTGTTCTTTGTTAAAGTGTGTGATTTCACTCCTCTGAAATACGTGCGTGGCACGGCATGAGGGGTTGGTGGCTCAGGGGCTTCACGCTGGAAATTAAAGTCGCTGTCCTGTTTTTCTTTTGTTGTTACTTTTTTTTTTTTTTTCCCTCCCCTTTCATTTTAGGGTTTCTTGGATCACCAGGCGGGAAACCCCCAGGTCGTCATTCTGCGCCTCCTGCGTTACATCATCCGCCTCATCTGGAGGATGCAGTGAGTGCCGGGCACATCCCGAGGCACCAGGACTTGGCCACTCCTTGGGAAAGCCCCGGGAAGGTGGATGGATGGACAGACGGGTGGATGGATGGATGGATGGACAGACACGGGGCTCCCAGCTTGTCCCTCTCCTGTTAGATGAGGCTGGACATCCCACACCGACCTGCTGGGACTCTCCGATGCAGGATTTGATCCGAGAGTGGTGTTTACTGCGTTTCTCCTAAGTATTTCAGTTATGTTTTATTTTTCCAAAAGAGTCTCAGAGAAAATACTCAACGGTGATGGAATTACTACGATTTTTATTTTTAATTTTTGGTCATCATTTCGGGAAACCTGTCAGCTTGCCTGGGATAAACCCTGCAGTGGGAAAATAGGAAAACCCGAGCCAGCTGAGGGGCAGAGCCACCTGAGCTTGCCTGGCAGGACCTTTTCATTGTGGAGATTTGCCAGCCCTCGCCTCTCCCTTCTCCTCTGGGGTGTTTGCCAACCAAAAAGGATGGCAATGATGGCAGAGGGGTTTAAATCAGCACTTCTTTTACCTGTAAATACCTAATGCTACCCACAAATCGACCTTCATTTGCGTCATGCAAATAGCCTATTTCCTG